TTGGGGTTTTGTGCATGCATACCCGCCCTTTGGGCACTCGGCACCAAAAGGGTTAGCAATCCCTGTTCTATTCTATTCTAATATTTCATTTGCTCTCAGCACACTGTGTGAAGCTGGGGATATAGTTTTTGACCTGTGTTTCATAGATCTGCACAATCTATGGTATGCTCGACAAACTGTGGTGGTTAAAACAAAAATGGCTTAATATATTTGACTGCAAGACATGTATGTATGTATGTATGTATGTATGTGTATGTGTGTGTGTGTATTTATGTATGTATGTATGTATTTATTTAGAGTCACAACCCCTGGTATGCCCAAATATGGAAGCTTGGCTGTGTTCTGATTGGGTGGAGGTGTGTTCTGATTGGTTGGGGGTTTGTGTTTCATGTAAGGATAAGAGGGGTTTAAAGTGGCTAATGGTGCAATTGCAGTCTGGCTTCTGGTCCTTCTGAGTGTGGGCCTGGTGTCATTCATCATATATANAGGGAAAAGGGCGGCCTACAAATGCTAATAAACCTAAACCTAAACCTAATCTCCTGGTTTCTAGTTTTGTGCCCAAAAAATCTGCCTATTATATCCTGATTCTGGTAGCTAAAATCTCAGCAAAGAGGCAGCTGAAATAATCTTGCAAAATCAACTCTACAGAGAATACAAAGAGTATTTAAGTCTGGGTGTATACATGTCACACTATGACATGTATGATTCATGTAGTTGGAATTTCATGCAGCCCAATGATGTGTGTTTGTAAATACGGATTTATGTTTTCACATTATGTACCAACTGGGCCAGTATCGCTTGTTAAATAGGACTTAAAAGGAACTAAAATTCAGTGCAGTGTTCTTTCCCGCTTGAATGCGTGATTATGAGTTTCTTAAGAATTTAGCATGATTGGAATAAAATGCAATGTTGGCTAGACAGCAGATAAATTGTGGATTAATTTATCTGTGAAAGAGGCCTTAATTGTTCATAAAGCTTGTACATTAGAGGTGGTACTCAGCAGGTTCTGACCAGTTCTGGAAAACTGGTAGCAGAAATTTAAGTAGTTTGAAGAACTGGTAAATACCACCTCTGACTGGCCCTGCCCCCATCTATTCTCTGCCTCCCGAGTCCCAGCTGATCGGGAGGAATTGGGGATTTTGCAGTAACCTTTCCCTGGAGTGGGGAGGGGATGGAGATTTTACAGTATCCTTCCTCTGCCATGCCCATCAAGCCACGACCACCAAGCCATGCACACAGAACCAGTAGTAAATTTTTTGAATCCCACCACTGTATACATTACTAATTTATTTACTTTTCACATTACTACAACAATGTGCTATATTGTCCTAGAAATGTAGTGTAAAATGTAAGGGGCAAATTAATGGATTATCGTAAATCTTTGGCCAGAATTCTGTTTATATTTGGCCAGGAATCAAAACTCAGCCAAAACAGAAACCTGGAAGCAATATTCTTGTGGTTTTCCATGTATGTCTTTGCTCCTGCCTGACGTGAAACCGGTTTTCCTTCATGTTCCAGCATTGCCTGAAAAAAGGATCTGCATGAGGTTGCCCCAGGATATGAATAGCTGCCTAAGAGGATCTAGAATCATAGTTTTGTGGAGTCAGAAGGAATCAGAAAGGTTATCTAGTCAATATGCAGGAACACGTGTTATGCATTAAAGAGTTATTAACCTAATTTTGCAAAGCTTCTTCTCCGATAACATTGCACTGCAAACTAGGACATACAAAACCTTTGCCAGACCAATTCTCAAATACAGCGCATCTGCCTGGAATCCACACTGTATAACAGACATGACTATAATTGAGCGAGGCCAGAGATATTTCACAAGAAGAGTCCTCCACTCCTCAGCTCCCAGTAGAATACCTTATGTCACTAGGCTTGAAATTTGGGACCTGGACAAATGAGAACTACACCGCCTATGGTCTGAGCTAAGCTTAGTACACACAATTGTCTGCTACAACATCCGATCTGTCAATGACAACTTCAGCTTCAACCACAATAATACACGAGCAAACAATAGATACAAATGCAAAGTAAACCGCTCCAAACTCGACTGCAGAAAAAACGACTTTAGCGATAGAGTGTCAATGCCTGGAATGCACACCCGACTCTGTTGTTACATCCTCAAACCCCCCAAAACTGTTAGATCGGGTAAAGGAAAGGCACACTCAGGCTTAGGCAGCAACAGAAATCAACTATGTACAGTCCAGCGAAGGTTCAGTCTGACAGCAGCCCTTTTATAGGGAGCTGTCCAGGGGTGCGTTTCAGGTGGTTCGCGGCGGTCCCCGCGAACCGGTTGGTCAGCGAACCCGAAAGTAAGTAACTTCTGGGAACGCCGAAGGATCCACCCGCCCGCCGGCGTTTCTTACCTGGTTTTGACGAGTTCTGCGCTTCCATGCATGCGCAGAACGCATACAGCGCCTGCGCAATCCTCCAGGAGCAGCTGGAGCATCGCACAGGCACTAGTACGCATGCGTGCACTGCGCNATTTTCTTGGTATCTTTCACAGACCACTTGCAACAGTTCACTTAGTGACCATTCAAAGTTACAACGGCACTGAAAAAAAGCGACATAACCATTTTTCACATTTACGACCTTTGAAGCATCTTGTGATCAAAATGCTTGGGAACCGGTTTACACTTATGACCGTTGCTGTGTACCAAGGTTGTATGAATCACCTTTGGTGACCTTCTGACAAGCAAAGTCAATAGGGAAGACAGATTCACTTAACAACAAGGCTACAAGCTTATCAACTGCAGTGGTTCACTTAACAACTTGAAACTGAAATTCCTAAAGTATGCACCCTCACTAGAGTTTGGCTAAGGCCCCAGGTCCTTCAAAAGGATGACACTTGACTTGATGCTCCTCCATCCTTAAAACATATGGATGCTAAAACAAATGTGTTGTCATATAACTCCTTGTGTAGGTGTGGCGGTCACCCATGGCCCAGTGCATAACAGGGCATGCGCAGCCACGCTGAACCACACAGGAAAAAACAAGTCCCAAAAGATAAAACATCCTGATCAGGATATAACCATATATAGACAGAACTTCCCTTAAGCAGTAGATTAGCAATTGTAGTTTGACAGGCTGTCTTAAATCACATGCTGATTGCTCCTCCTGCCTTTGTCCTATCTCAATAAAAGGGGCTCCCAGACCCCAATCTGGGTCGCCTAATCCCGAGAAAGCTCGTGTCCGTGTCTTTTCTCAACATTGGCCTCATGGGCGAACCACGTGTACTTCACACAAATGAAGAATGGTTGCAGGAATTGGTTGTGTCTAGTTTAATGAAACATGGGGAAGTGGCTAAGACGCTGAGCTTGTCGATCAGAAAGGTTGCAGTTTGCCTGTTCGAATCCCTAGTGCTGGATAAGGAAGTGAGCTCTTGTTACATGTCCCAGCTTCTGTCAACCTAGCAGTTTGAAATCATGTAAAAACGCAAGTAGAAAAATAGGGACCACCTTGGTGGGAAGGTAACGGCCTTCAGCGTTTAGTCATGCCAGCACATTACCATGGAGACCTTCGGACAGCGCTGGCTCTTCAGCTTTGAAACAGAGATGAGCACCGCCCTCTAGAGTCAGGAACGACTAGCACATATGTGCAAGGCGAACCTTTACCTTTAGTTTAATGAAAAGAAGGACTAGTGGTGACATGATAGCAGCTCTCCAATATCTAAGGGGCTGCTTAGGATAGGATAGTATATGGGAGAGATACTCACTTAACAACGGTGGCAAGAAAGGTCGTAAAATGGGGCAAAACACACTTAACAAATGTCTCACTTAACAACAGAAATTTTGGGCTCAATTGTGATCGTAAGTTGACGACTACCTGTATATTAAGTTTTTCAGTCCATGCAAAGTGAGCTTAAGGGTTCTTGGGTGGTCTTTGATTGAGCATCGAACCAACTCGTATTGGCTTATTTTCAACAAGGTGACTGGATTGTACATCCTGGAATCATAGCAACTGATAGAAGACCCCCCCAAGGACACATTGTAAAATAGACCATAGACTATAGGCTGGTTTTATTTCTCCGGTTCTTCCCCCTTCAGCTCCATCACCGTTTCGTGCCCACTGATGTTGTTTATTTTTAAAATTAGATTTTTACCCTGCATTTTGGTTAGGCGCTCAAGGCAATGGTCCTAGCTGTGTCTCCATAGCATCTCTTTTGACCCACAGCCATAACAGAGAGAATAGGCTGGACATGGAGAAGGAGAACAGCTCAAAGTCATCCAGTGAATGCCCATAACTGAGAATGGATTAAAATCACTGTCTCTCCAAGGACACTCCAATACTTTTAACAGCACACCAAAAGAGATAGTTCTCTTTTAAGGTTTATTTTTGGGAAGATTTTTGCTCTATTTCTAGAAAACTTTTTGAGTATTCTAATAATTTCTCGCAACATTCCCTTTAGTGGGCACGGAGTAGATCATTTGGGCTATTTCACATGCCAAACCAGTAGTAATGCTGGCAGGAATCCACCCCTGACGAACATATATTATATGACATGGACAAACAACACAGTCTAGTTTGGATGTATACATGTACTTGGTGAGAGAAACAAATCTTGTGAGTTGACCAGATGGATGGCATAGGGAACAAAGCTGTTACAGAATCTGGTAGTCCTTCTAAAATACTTCGAAACCTCCTTCCAGAGGGGAGCAAAGGGAACAGACTGTGAAGTGGGTGTGTGTGGGTCTCTAATAATGCTTTGAGCGCTAAGCGCATAGTGCTTATAAGCAGTATAAGCAGAATCTTCTTGGTTGCCCTTTCTACTCTCTGTATGGACTTTCTACCTGAGGCACTGCTGCCACCAAACCAAACAGTGATGCAGTTTGTTTAAACGCTCTCAATTGCGCCTCTATAAAAAGTGGCCAGGACAGAAGGAGAAAGGTGTGTTCTCCTCATCTGACACAGGAAATGCAGATGCTGGTTTGCATGTGTATCATGGTCACTCTTATGTTTTCTCCTGATATCTGTATCATTCTTTTTCTTCCCAGCTCAGACACCAAGGTCGTCCATTTACAGATAAAGACTTCCAAGTCCAGGGACTAAGTTATGATGGACTGCCAGTGGCTGCCATTTCTTTCCGGGAATGGCGAATCCTCGATGATCTTGACCGTCTGGACAAGAACTACAAGGCTTATACCATTATCTTAGAATTCTTGCAGTTGGTCTGGGATGATCAATTTGAACTCAACCCCACCGAAGATGGCCTTCTAAATATGCTGAAAGATACCCGGATGCAAGTCCAGGGCCTTGTTAATAATTTGACCATCATCATATCTGCCTTGAGGGCCACACCCTCGCCTGTTACTGACCCTCTCACGTTGGACGTAGTCAAAACCAACACCTTTGAGAAAAAAGTTCGGGGATACGTGGTGTGTTCCACGTATAAGCAATGGATCGATCGGACCGTACGAGATTTTAATCTCCTTGTGAAGACATACCCTGTTTAAGAGCTATTCGAAATGTTTCGGGAGGGGAAGATAATTCTTACACCCCACTGTTTCTTACACTCCATTGCAGATTTCTCAGGGAATTTAGGTGTGGGCAGAAGTCAAGTACATCATAATGGGATTAATCTGCAAACCTTTTTGCTAGGTAAACTCAAGCTTCTGTTCTGGAAAAATCCCAATATTCAAGTTTTCAGAAGAAATCAAGAATGCTCTGAGCTCATTGGTTGCCTCTCTTGGCTGTGCATGGTGCTGATTGGCTCTCTTGTAATGTTACTAACAGTCAATTCCGGAGCAAGATTTCTAGAGGCAAGCTGTTAATTGTCCTCATTGGTATTACGTTTCTTCTTAATTCCAAGTTGCTTCTCTCTTTGATTAGTTTCCAACCATTGTTTCCTGTCCTGCCCTCCGGTACTTTGGAGAATAATTTGACCCCCCTCCTCTTCATGGCAGCCCCTCAAGTACTGGAATACAGCTATCATGTCACCCCTAGTCCTCTTTTCTTTAGACTAGCCAAACTCAAATCTTGCAGTCATTCTTCATATATTTTAGTCTCCAGGCTTTTGATTTTCAAGGTCTCAACATATTTTTTGCAGTATGGTGACCAAAATTGGCTGCAGTATTTCAGGTGTGGTCTTATTAGGGTTGTTAAACCAACCAATTTTTCAACATAGCCCAGTTTTGCCAAAAATGCTGGGTTTTGCCAAAAAATGTTATAAAACTTGACCATACAATTCTGCAAATGGCTATAAGTAGGTGCTGATTGCTGAGCACCTCAAATTTGGACATGTGACCACAGAGGAGATCCTGACCATTGGCACTTCAGAACCAGGTTGTAAGTATCTCTAGGGAGATCTGTCATAACTTTGAATGGTTGCTAACCAATGGTGGTAAATTGAGGACTACCTGTATTCTCTGGTTTGAGGCAAATGTATAACAAAGTCTTTCAAACCTCTCTTTTATGCTTATGCTGACATATTTTAAGAGGGTGTTTTCAAGCTCTTTGGATGGATAGCAGAGCGGGAGAGGTTGAGTTTTATTGCTAGCCAAGTTGGCATCTGAGGTTAGAGTGATGCCAAGCATTGATAGATACCCACATGGACAAGGATGAAGAACTTAGCACTCACACAAATACACAGGGCAGGAGTCATACCACATGTTGACAAAGCAGATGGAAGATCAACTCCATGAGTTGATGGAGTTGACCATCAGTTGTTGACCAAAAGTTGACCACATTGCGTGAATTTCCTTTGCCTTCTCTTTCCCTACTTCAGTTTCCCAAAAGTGAAAATAATGGCCTCTACCATGTGACCAGAGTCCTACCCTGCCCCTTTGCATGTAAAGCATGTTTTAAAAAAGGGGATGCGGCTTAAATCATGTCATCGTAGATGCCATCTTGACTTTTTTGACTTTTGGGGTAGGTCTTCTTTAGTCATTCTGGGAATCCTGTTTGGAGTAAAATGCAATGACTGTTTCAACAACAACAAAACAACATTAATAATATTAATAATAATAATTTATATTAAAGAGGTATTTAGATGCATTATTTATATAGTATTTAATGATAGACCACAGAAGGGGATTTTGTCTTTACTTAAGTCTTCCTTAAGTCTTTACTTAGTTGAAGATGTTTTGGTATTTTGGAGAACAGTTACCATGAGCTAAAACTGTTCCAAAAACCAACATGTGTAATTTTTAAAAAAAAGAATGAACAAAACAATGGAAAAATAAACGGCAAAATGAAGATGGTACAAGAAAACATGCTTTACATGATAATGAAGTTCTATCATTTGATGTTTGCAGCTATAGTTACTGATACCGGATAAACCTCTATGCTTGTTTCAAAGTTGATATGGATTTTATACAAAAGTGCAGGACTGAATTCTCCAGAGCAATTCATGCACAGATTTGCTATCTAGGGTTTTGTTTTTGGTTTTTTTACATTTTAAGATTTTTGCATTTGTAGAGATGAATTGATGAGTTGACTTCATGAAATAGAATTTTTAAGTAACTTAAACAAATAAAATGTTCTATTTTTGATACCTGTGCAATTCATGCACAGATTTGCTATCTAGGGTTTTGTTTTTGGTTTTTTTACATTTTAAGACTTTTGCATTTGTAGAGATGAATTGACTTCATGAAACAGAATTTTTAAGTAACTTAAACAAATAAAATGTTCTATTTTTGATACCTGTGCAATTCATGCACAGATTTGCTATCTAGGGTTTTG